GTAAGGGTGGCCAGAGCCTGGAATAGGCTTCCCAGAGAGGTGGTGCTCTCATCTTCCCTGGAAATCTTCAAGGGGAGACTGGATAGGCACCTGGCTGGGGTCTTATGACCCTGCCACCCCCAGTGCTCCTTCCTGGCCATGGCAGGGTGTTGGACTAGATGATCTCTCTAGGTCCCTTCCGACTCATTGATTCTATGAGCTGCAGCCATCTTGCTAGGACTGCAGAAGAGCCCAGTGGAGAGACCTGGAGGTCAGTATCTGGGGAGACAGTATCTGGGGGGATTCAGAAACTGATTGCTGACACCAGCCAGGATCCGGTGGGGCTGAGCAGATTTTCACACGTCATTCAGCCCATCCACCTTGCTTTGAACTTGCAGCTTGGTAGCCGTGCTCCACTCTTTAGTAGTGGCTGCCCAGTTGCACCCCCTGCGGGGCTGCTCTTTCTGGGTCTGGGAAGACCAAAGTGGAAGCAATCTCAGCTGCTCAGAGAGAGTACCCCACGGTGTGCAGGAAAGGCTGACTAAAATCCCTGCCTGGACAGAGCTAGAGACCAAGTTATTCTCTGTATAGATGTGGCCCAGGCAGCAGCTATGCAGGTACCCCTGCCCAGGAAGGGAACCTCAAGGGGAAAGAGGGTTTCTTGGCTCACTTGTTCTGCGGCCTTGCTGCCAGCTTGAAGGTGCCCTCTGAGACGTGGGCATCTATATGTTAGGAACTGAAGTGGGCCCCACCAGTTCATCACCAGAACCACCCTGCAGCATTCAGTGGCGGCTTTGGGTTGTGCTGCCTGGCACAAGGGACTCAACTCAAATCAATACATAGAGAGGAAACACCATCCTCTGAGCCCTCAAGATGAGCCATTTCATGTTAACCGTAGAGTAGTGCCCAGAAGCACATCAGTCTTGCAGTCCAGAGGAGCTGTGCGCTTATGCCCATATAGGTAAACTCCATCCATCTACCAAGAGCTTTTGTAAAGGTTGTTTCTCAGGGCCTGGCCTACAAAGTGCCCGGCTGTCCAGGCAGCATCTTTTAGCAGAAACCACAAACTTTCACCTCGGTGTTCTCTTCCCTTCTCCCTGGGCAGACCACCGACGACGCCGATGATACCGTGGGACACAAAAACTTCATTTCGGCCACAATGCAGACGGGGTTTTGTGACTGGAGTGCAAAATATTTTGCTCAGCCTGTCATGAAGGTAAGCTTTTCTTCCTTTACGTTTACAGAGTCACACCGCTGGGTCTTTCAGGGAGGTGGGGATCTGATACCCTTCAATGCAAGCTCAGCACATTCTCTGTTCAGAGCGTTCATGGTCCTTTCAGTCACTGCAGCAAGAGTGTTGTCACTACCCCACTGCTCTCTGAGACCACCTAACACCCTGCCTGGAGTATGTGGGAAGAGAAGTGATTGGAGGGGAAGTGGAGCAAAGTTACAATGCTGAATTTGTGTTCCTTTGCCCATAGAGGACAGATGTCAGAAGGAAGAGAATTGGGTTAATTGCATTGTATTTAGCACCTAACTAGCAGGCTTAGTGTTCAGTGCACTGTACAGATGTTCAGTAATCCTTGTAAACAAGTGAAGTGGGGTAGGATGACAAAGTAAGACAAAGACAAGATTCATCATGGAATCAAGCAATGGTTGGGTGGGAGCGTATGTTTTAGTGACACCATTCTCCGGGGTCAGCACACAGTGAAAGCAAAGAAATATCATCTCTGCCCAGTGCAGCCATTGGTTTAACGCTTTACCTATATGAAGTTGCCTCTGTTAAGCGGTAGTTCTGGTTTGTGTATGCCAAGGAAGATTAACAGATAATCTTGCCTGAAGTGGACAGCACATGGGTACACCCAGGTTAACTTTCCAGGAAAAATGCTGGTGATAAAAACCCTCTCTGCTGCCACCCATGAAGGAACAGGCACTATAAATACTGCTGGGTTGCCAGAGTCAAAGTCAGTGCAGTGAGCCTCCTTTGTTCCAGCGGCAGGGTCAGAGGTGCTGCTTTGTTTCTGCCTGTGCAGTTTGGTTTCTGGTGGTGCTGGGGCTAAACTGAGCAGAGGTAATCATTGATAATTCTGCCTTAAGTGAAGTCTAGTTAATCCTAGTTTCAGCAGAGCATGTCCTCCACTTGGAGCCAGACTTGACCCTGCAACCTTAGATCTGGGATCTGCTTGCAGGCTTCTTATGAAATGTCCTTTCTCTCAGGAGAGGGGCTGCAATAGCAACTGGAAATCTGAATTAGTGCCCTGGGAAGACTCCCACAACCTTGTTTATTAGGTTAAAAATATTGCACTTGCAGTAAAGCCAGTGGGCAATGGGAGCAGGGATGACAAATCTTCTGTTACAGTGTAACAGTTTATGCTGGTGCTGTTTGATCCCAGTACAGTTACATCGGTCTGTACTCTTTGAGATGATTTCAAAAGTGGTTCCCCCCAGTCTTCCACTCGTCAGTGCAATGTAAGACGCACGCCAAAGCCTGGCACTAGGATAAGTGAAGTTTCTAATTGGGAGGTGAGTGCTGTTTCTGGGTGGCACAAAGGAGAGATTGCCTCCCAGCTCCCCAGATTTTTTAAGAAAAGGCTACGTATGATTTCAGTCTTAGCTAGTAAATCAAAACACAGATTGCAAGCAGTAATTCTTACTCCCTCACAAAAAAAGGAAACCCAGGGCCTTTGGGAGGACAACTCCAAAGGTCTTGGGATTCAAACAGAACAAAGTATAACTGAAATTCCAGCTTCAGTTTTTGAAGGCATCACTGGCCATGTCTACACGAGATGCTTTACTGCACAGTAGACTAATCTACTGCACATTAAAGTGTCATTGTCTACAAGTGCAGGTGCTTACTGTGCAGGAAATTAGTTTATTGTGCAGTAAATTTACTGTGCAGTAAAGCCAGATAGCAATAATTGTACGTGTAGTTGTGTCCGCTATTTGACTCAGCAGGTGACATGCATCACACACAGGTGAACAAGTCTGTGATATTGTCACTGTCCAAATAACTCAGGTGAAACATAAGGGCAAATCCCAGAATGTCCGTGTGACACAAACTAGTGAGACGATGCTACTCTAACCCCAGGGAAATATTGCTGGATGCTGGTTTTAATAAGCAGCCGCTGATGATTCACATCTTTTAAGCATAAGGAAGAATTGCCCATTTTGTGCATAATTTCCCCCGTTCTGAGCAATAACAATGAACCATCCATTATGGATCCTTCATGAAGCACGTCTTGTTGAAGTAGCAAAACTTTAGGGTAATGGTGGGAAGTAAGTGGCTGCATGTCTCTATGCATTATGAAACTAGTGAAACTGGAGGCAAGTTTCCAAGTCACTTGATTTTTGTTGTTGTTTTAACTTGAATCGCCAAGAGGCAACCCTTGGTAGTAAAATGTATGGCCTGGTGCTTCATCATCAGCTATACTACTAATGTAATTAATTTTCCCTTGACACAATTAGCAGCTTAGCCAATACAGTAAAAGTTGTGTTAACTGGCACATCATTAACCAGCATGCTGTATTAACCGGCATGCCGGTCGACACGGCAAAAGGGAATCCGGAAGTGGGACTTCCGGTTTTGTCAAGTCCTGCAGCCTGGGGGAAAACAGCCTGCACGGAGCCCCCCGTCCCTTTCCCCTGGCATACTGACACCACCGGAGAGGCGGGAGGGGCAGCATGGTTAATCTGAGATGTGGATGCAGCGGGAGAGGCATCTTTGCCTGACCAGGCAGACACCTCTCAGATAACCGGCACATTTGATTATCCGGCAGAGTGCCGGATAATGGAGCTTTTGCTGTAATATATTAGGATTTATTTCTGACCAGCAGGACTCAAATACTAGGTCATACTTCAAGCTTTTGGGCTTTTACACAAAGATTTGCTTTGGTCAAGAGGATCGTCAGAGTCTTGTTTCCAAGACCAAAAAGAATAAGTAAGTTTTATAGGGGGAAAAAAAGTGAGAAATAGGTATTATGGTGGCTTATCTCTCAATGCTTATTAAAAACATTTGTCTGCTTTCTGAGGATAGTTGTTCACAAGAGTGGTGTCTTTATTAATATAATAAATCACTCTCGACAGCCAATCAGATTTTAGTATTAAGCAGTATTAGTGGGCATGCAGGGAGCAATTATTTTTTTTAGGCAGAGGACTTCACGTGCATAAACCAGAGAAAGCTCCTTTTTCAGAAAAGGAAGAAGGGAAGAGATGTGAATACAGGAGCAGAGGGGTAAGGTGCTCTCTCATGAATGCACAGGGCTGGTTGGTTTATACGTCGCTTGGCCCCAAATGGTTGAGATGCCTCGCCTAAGAACCTCGGACGCTCCAAGTTCCGGCACCAAACTGCATCCATAGACAAATGAAGCCGGGGCCACGGTGATCTCACCTCGCTAGTGGTGCCAACCTTTCCGAACATGGCAGGTGTGCTAGCATCTCTCATAGCAAAGTGTCTGACTGGTTTCGACTCTAACTGCCTGTTTCCACTCATCTCCTTTTTACCAGCTGAGATTTTACAGACCTGGTAAAAAATGTGATGGTTTTGGTGAAGTTTTTGAGTTAAACAGGTTCTGCGGTTTCCTTAAAGAAGACGACAGGAATGGGGGAGAAGGTATAACTCCTTGTTACAGCTGGAAAATATGTTTGGAAAGTGCTTGTTTAAGAGCTCGGACTGAAGTGGCTAGGGATGAGAGCACGTGCTTTAGGCTGTAGGTGGTTGTGTCTCAGAGGAGAAAGGCTCTGGATTGAAACAAGTTCCGAGTCCTTGAGAGTTGCATACGGCGTGGCAAAGGCTCCAGTACAGACCCACAGCTTGTCCTGTCTCCTTTGAGCATTTCCTTCCTGTCCACCTGATTTTCACTGCATGATGGTCCACTCTGTCTTCATGTGTTCATATTTTTTACAAGGTCCCTTCTAAGTTCTGTTAATTAAGAGCTAGTCCATTGCCCATCCTGTGCCATGGCACAAGGACACAGAAAGCGCCCCCTTATTCCCTCATGCCTCCTGCCTGAAATAGTCTGCTTGCGACCCCTGCATTCCCCTTGTGCAGCTGTGCTGGGCATGAAGGAAGACCTTGATTTCACCTCTCTGGCGGTCCTGGCAGTGAGTGCATGCTGTCTCTTTCCTCGGAGGAGAGATCTCACCACACTGCATTCTGCCTACCAGATTGTACACTGCCAATCCAGCTGCACATCTGCAGGAATCTTCCATGTGCTTTCTTCCCATTAACCTCCACATCTGCCCACGGGGGCTGTTCAGAGGAGGCGGGGCGTCATCTGCAGACCAACCAAAGCCCAAACACGTGAGCTGTAAGATACAGTTCAGTCTTGTTATAACAAACCCCGCTCTTAATAGCAGAAGCTGATCTTTTCATTATTATGCTGTGACGAATTGACTTGACCCCGTTACAGCAACTACCTGGTCCCAGGGGGGCTCCATATAATGAGGTTGTCCCATATTTGTAGCATATGTAAGATATTTGAGGCATCCTTGTTGTGGACTCTTTATCTGGCATACCCAGGGTGCCGCTCAGGAACAGGTGATGCAACACGTGTGCATATCACATGTTGTAGGGTACATTGCCTTTCCTGAGAAATAGGATGTAATTTTGTAATCAGTGTGGTGTTCTGCATCTGGAGAAGGAGGAGAGAGAAGGCTCTGCAGACGGCTTCCTGTGGTGTTTTCCAATATTTGCCCATTCTGCCAGGTAATGCTGACCTTCCTGTAACATGTTTCTTGGCTGGAATTCGGCAGAACGGTCTCTTCCTGGAAATGCCACTCCTGGAGCAGGCGGAAACATAAAGTCCTGCCAGACCACAGCTGCCTTTTGGGAGCCTCAGTCTCCAGGAAAAGGCCAAGTGCAAAATGAACTAAGCGCAGGTAGAAGAGAAGGATGCTGCGGTTCCTCGCTGGTATTTCATCCAGGAGTGCTTCTTTCTGAAATAAACGGGGAAAGACAAAACAGTCATTCCTGTAATGAATAAACATAAAATGACTGTGAGCACGTCTTAGTCGTATTTAATTTATGAGTTTAGCTTTGCTTCATAGCCCTTGCTCTGAAAATGCTTTCGCTGGGAAGATGCAGGGATTAATTTCCATTATAAATCATTGGCTTGGTTTCAAACCATCATACTGAACTTGATTTATTGATTATCAAATCAGATAAATTTAGGGAGAGAAAGCTGCATTGTGATTGCTTGGTGAGGCATTAAAGAGCAGACGGCTCCGGTAATTCTGATCTCTGCAGAAAGCTTTCCCCTGCTCAGCGATCAGGAAGTTCTTGTAGCTAAAGGCTCTTCCACCGACCGCACGCAGGCTGGAGTCAGTAAAGGCACAAGAAAGCCTGGGTGTTGCTGGCTGTGGGGGAGCCCCCCCGTCAAAAGAGCTGGAGCCAGCTTCCATTGCACTTTGTCCTTGAGGTCACATGAGGTGGAGGCTGGTAAGGACCCTGGAAGGTGAGAATTATGTGGACCCTGCTCTGAACTTCGTCTCACTCACTCCTCGTAGTCCTGGCAGCTGTTCAAAGCCCCGATGCAGAGATTAACCCTTTATAAAACAGCTGCAGCAAAGACCTCCCTGTAATAGTGGTTGCTATTACCAAGTGCATCAAGCCTCTTCCCTGACCCCTCACAACCCTTTCATTCACCAAGACACTGGGAAAGAGGTAAAGGAAAACAACTTCATTGGCTTTTGAGTGACACAGCCCAGCACGAGGAATCAGAATTGGTTTCTGTCTGAGTGGAAAGTGAAAGGTGGTAGAAATCTGCGGCCTGTTTTGGTCCTAATCTTGTCACACGATTACAGACACCCATGTACCTCCAGGACCTCTGCTTGCAGGACAGCTGAGCAAAAGCCATTGCCAGGCTTTTACTTACTAGAAGGATCTGGTAAAGCTTGGATGGGGAGGGGGCAAAGGGATGAGCAATTGATCCAGGCGTCCTGCTGATTTCTGGTCAGAGGCAGGCTGGCTGGATCTCTCTCACGTGTGCATGCTGGCACACATGTTTTAGCCTGGAAGATCCCAAGTTGAGTGCCTGTTCTGTAAGTTTTTCTGAGTGGTTGAAGTTAAATATTTTCAACTGATCAAAATACTGCCTCTGCCTCATGTGGTCAGCGGCCCCCTGCACAGCAGCCTGCAGGGGAGTGAGAAGTCTTGTGTTGTCTTCATGCGCAGGCTGCGTATAATGCGCACAACCTGATGGCTCTCCCCTTCTCTACACGGCTGCCTGCTTTGCAGTGACCACAGAACAGAAGCAGTTACCCTGATCTGGGCAGGAGCATGGGCAGGTGTGCGGCACATCTGCATGATGCTGTGAGAAACCTTGTTGGAGGCAGGTTCTCCGCTCACCTCTTTACATCACCAACCAGCTTTCTGCTTCATTATCCCTGGAAGGATTGAGGCTCTTTCTCTAGAGCTGGAAAGCCTGTGTGCTCCCTCAGTCTACCAGTCTGTGTCCCCTGAACATGCATGAGATGGTCAGGGAGGGAATGGGACCTCCCAGTCGGAGTAGGAGAGAACTGTTGGGTGCCAGTGGAAGAACTTACAATTCTGTTCATGCCCCTCTTCTCTCCTGCTTGAGATGGCCTTTTAGATCTTAGACTAATTTATTCCCATAGAAACTGGATTTTCATTAAAGTGTAATATCTCCTCTCAAATATGCGTTGATGCATTTTATCTGGGCTTTGTTTATTGCTTTGCATTATTGGTCATTTGTCATTTCCTTTCTAATAAACTCTGGATTGCTGCAAAATGAAACTATTTTTTTTCCAAAAGAAAAGGCAATCCAGCACAATAATCTTGCTTGTGGTTCCTTTCGAAGGGTTGGATGTCTTCTTGAACACAGTATGCATAGTAATGTCAGGCTGCTGAAGTCCTTTCTCACTGGGAAAAATGGAGTTATAGGGGCTCTTCCTGCCTCCAAGAAACACCCTCTTCCTCTGTAGCCATCTTCCCTTTCACTGCAGTAAATTAGATGCAACTCTCACGAGTGCCCCTTGTCCGCAGCTCCTTTGTCAGCTGGTTCTGGAGGTGCGGTTCTCAACCCTGCGGGGTCTCTGATGCACCAAAGGGCAGAGACCCCATCCTAGTCCCCTCCTTTGCTTTCTCTTAGGTACCGCGCAGAGGAGAGGCTGCAGGCCCCTTCCCAAGTTTCTCTTGCAACCCCCAGGCTGATCAGCTCTGGGAGCTGTGGAGGGAAGCTGCACTCTTGCTCCAAGCCACCATGCTCAGCTGTCCCCCAGGCAATGCCTAGGAGCACTCCCGGTGGTGCCGGTCTTTCTTGGCTTGAAGCTGCCCCTTGTTGGGAATAAGCAATTTCAAGGTGAGGCTGGGAAGAAAAGAAACACCAAAAAGGGAACCAAAATCTCACCTGCTGCTGGTGCCACGTTAGTATTGTCGTTCTAAATAAAGCCCATGGTGCATCTTTGGCTGGTACGGTTACAAAGGAGGGAATTTCTAGTGCTTGCCTCAGAGGACCTTTCTGGTGTCATTAAATGAGCTTTAGTTGGTACGACTAGATAAAAGTGCCCATGTGGGCTTCGTGGGGCATCACTTTATCTTGGAGTGCTCCCTTTGGCACTGTCTGTACTCGGCCTGCCTCAGTATCCCTTCGGTGACTAACATCCTGGGCAGAAACTGCTGGCGGTGCTGGAGCCTGCAGAATCCACAATTGGCTCCATGGGCTCTTTGCTCTAGAGGAGGTTTGCTGGGACGGCAGCCCCACTCGGCCTCTGAGTTCAGGTGCAGTCCGTCCTAGCAAAGAAGTACTTTGGCTGCTTTGCTTGTTCTGCTGAGGGCACTTGTTCTGCTAAGTCCTAAGAGCCAGAGTCCTGCATCTTCACCAGGGCTTTTGCTGGCATAAAAATGTCTGCAGGCATCACGGGTCTGAGCAGCATTACCTTACAGGCAAAAATTCCTAATGTAGACCTGGCTGTTTAGTGCAGGCCTGAAGGACTTCTGGTCCTTCTGCGGGAACACTCCTGCCAGTGAGGCTGATTATGCAGCTCTTACTATAATTTACTACTTAGTCCTGTAGCACCGTAGAGCTTCTCAGCATGGTCAGCCCTATACAGTGGGACATAGATCTAGCAGCTGGATGGGCTTGGTGCACCTTTCTTCAGGGTCGCAGATTGAAGGATGTGTGTAAACGAGATGAGCCAATACAAGTGTACCGGGGCTGCCACCTCTGATGTTCTGGTACAGTAAACTAAAAACAACCCTCCTCTTCCAGCAAATGCTGCTGCATTCATCACCTGCACATCTTGGAGACTCAGAACTAAAAGATGTAGACCTCTTGTCCACTCTAGTCACTGAAAGGAAGATTTTAATAGTGTTTTTCATTTTGTGCCTTGGCAAAAGCCGCGTTTTATTGTTATACCTTGTTCTGAAGTGTTATGTTTTTCAGCTGAAAGGCACTATGGAAAATAAGCTGTATTGTAGTTAACAGAAAAAGTCACTGGAATGGCTGTGAGAGTAAAGTGGGTTCATTGCAGTGACTGCAGTGCTGTATGACAGCACAGTGACCAGCCATTTAAATGTACATGCCTCTTTAAGAACTTTGTCTGCCTGAGTCTGGAGTCTAAAAAGAAATCAGAATAAAGGACACCGGCTGAAGGGAATGGGAAGGGATTGCGCATGAGGCGAAGATTTAGGTTAGGAAAATGACTCGGTCTGTAGAGTCACATGGCTCCATGACTTCGTCCCGCTCACTGCCAGCAGGCAAACAGGGGGTTGCACATGCTGGGGGATTTCTGGTTCCAGTTGACGTCCTTAACTTGGGGTGTGACATTGATGCCACGGACTAATGAGAGTGTTAATGTATTAAAAGATTCCAGAAGAGCATGACCTGGAGAGCCAGATCCGCAAGGAGAGGGAGTGGCGGTTTCTCCGCAATGCCCGTGTCAGGAAGCAAGCACAGAAGATCATCCAGAAAGGTGAGCACTCTGCCTTCTAGGCAGCTTTTCCTGTCCAGCACCTCGAGCACTGGAACTTGTCTGGGCTCAAAGAGGGACTCCAAGCTCTCCTGTGATACTCTTAATGAATAATAAACAGCAAGGCACTGTTGGTCCATGCGTTTAGCAAGCCAGGGGACGCTTTCACAGGTGTTGGTGGAAGGAATGTGAAAGATTTTCCTAGGGGTGACTTGCCTTTCCGCTTAGAGGGCCCCATTTCTGCTCAAGGGAGAGACCTGATTGTGATTGCTCTAGACATTTCTCCTTCAACTTTGACCATCTCAATGCGGTTTTATCATTCAGGCAGTGCAGTGAGGCAAGCCTCACTGGACCAGCCCTAGACAGATGCCACTTCCTGCAACCTGTGCAGCCCACAAGGGAGGAGAAGGAATAGGAGAGCCAACGGTTTTGGGGGAGCAGCAGAGAACCAGCCATAAGATCATGTTTCCCCACTGATAGGAAGGTTTGCAAAGTTCGGTGCACAGGCTCACTCCAGAGCTTTGGGTCTGCCGGCCAGCAGCTGAGCTTTTCAGCTGCTCAGCCAATCAGGGATGGCACGTCTATGAGTGCCAAAGCATGCAGCAGAAAATTAATAATTCAGAGGCCTTTAGCAGATGCTATTGATTTACCATTTTGGCTTTTCCACCTTGTCCTGTAAAGTTCTGATGGATATTGTAGGTTACGTTTTCAAAGGACTAAAAGACTGGGCATGACGGGATACACATCGGCACTCCCACCTGCCCGAAAGGACGCAGCCAGTGTCTGTTCCGTGTCACAGGCCGTTAGGCTTGCCAGCCATGCCAGATCAGCTTGTTTTGCAGAGTTGACTGATGTGTCCTCCTCCTCCTGTTCAGCAAGTCTCTAAATGACTCCAGCATTCCCCTGCTCCACTGAGCTCCATAAATGATTGTTTACTCATATCCCGTTACATTTCTTTAGCACTTTTATGTACAGTCTCATTTACACTTACAGCTTTCCTTCTAATATGGCTTGGGTTCATGTTTCATTAGCATGGATATTCAGTGCTCTGCTGAAAGCTAATCTTGCTTATTTATAACTCTTTATGCATTTACAAGGCAGCAACCAGGCTGGGTTTTTTCTTTAATAGAGGAATGCATTCAAATTCATCAGAGTAGCCAGCAAGTAGTAGGGATTGAATCTGTGGCATTGCTATACGCTGCTGTTCTTGTGCTGTTGAGACTGCGGTGTTCAAGAAAAGCTCTCACCAGAAAGCAAGGAGGCTTGGGCGTTTTCCCTTCTGTGGCATGTTAAGACACCAGACGGCTGGGGCTTGGTCTCTCATGTGCAGCTCCCTCTCTGGAAGCCTGGCCGAATCAGGTTCCAGAAGGGATGGCGCGGCATCATCCCAGGGCTGAGTATCATAAACCAGGACTGTAACTAGGGACTGGGGGATGGGGCCAGGGGACTCCTTTGAATATAGATGGTGCAAAGGAGGGTAGGTTTCATGGTTGCCCAGTGGAGCTATAGCTTTCTGCAGACAGGGTTACAGTTTGGCCACTTACTTTAAAAGTGAAACAGATTTATAAATAAATACCATAATCAGGATCCCAGTAAAGCTAAAGATTAAATGACCCATCAAGTAAAGGAAGCTTATCACAGTAGGCCAGGTAAAATATGTGGGGTTGATCTGAAGTGAGACCATGTTTGTTTGTTTGTTTTTAATTTATTTTGTCAAAAATCTTCAAGCTTCCTGTCCTCTTAGGCCAAGACCAGCATTTTTCCTTTTTCCATTTGGCCACCAAAAGGCAAGATCCATTATTTTTCCAGCGACAGCTTTGTCTGTGCCACCTGCTAAGTCCCCCACCCAAGAGTCTGCATTTCTCTTGTGGCCTTTGATGGCAGTGGACACCTAAAGGCCAGTGGGATTTACTTGCTCAAATTAGCTAAAGATTTGGAGTCTTGCAATCTTAATTATTTAGCTTTTCAGGACTGTTAGTGTTTCCATGGTGGCATCTAACACCCTACAACACTTGTAATCAAACTGAGGCGTCAGACTGGAGAATAGTCTTACGCTCCGCAACTCCGCCTGCGAAAACGCAACCTGTGTGACATGAGCATCAGACTTCACACACCCGAGCCCAGGGCATTTAAAATCTGATGTATGAAAAATCAGTTTGGGCTTTTGTGAACATTTCCCATGAGAATAAATACCACTGATAGACGAGATGCACTGACACTGTTCACGAGAATGAAGACATTGCTGATTTTATTGAGGCTTGCGGTCTCAGTGTCCCTCATTATTGCGGTGTCAGAAAGGATACGCACCCGTGGCTTGATGTGGGCTGAATGTACAGACACCTAGGTCACTAGCTAGCCTGCTTCCCACTGACATCACTGTCTGGTGCAGAAAAGCTTTAATCAAATTTAGAGTTTGTAAGACGTGCCGGGCAGCAGTTGCAGGAGTGTCAGACGGCAAGAAGGACAGTGTCGCTTTCACCCTAACACAGGAAATGAGAACCCTGTGGGCTGGAGAGCACTGATGGCTAAGCTCCAGCTTCACTTCTCACCTGGCTGAAGACTGTATGGCACTTCCCCCTCACCTTCCCCCAACTCCGGGTGAGATGGAGAAAGAAAAACTTCGGCCCCAAATGATCAGTCTGGGGAAAGGATTAGTTTTTAGGGCTCTAGACAACATGACAAGAGCAACAGGTTCTGCTTCAGAGAGCGATCACCTGAAATTGGTATTTATTATGTAGTACCGTAAATACGAGCAGAGACATTGCGCCAGACAAGCAGATAGGAGTCCCAGAGACTCCTGATCAGCAGTAGGTGGAGTTAGTTAAAGATGGTTTTTGAAGGCAGAGAATGACGGGCTTGGCTTGTGCCAGTTGTGAGTGAGGAGTGCTTGAAAGACAGAACCAGGGAAATGGCAACAGGTGAACTTTAGAAGGGCATGGATGGAGAAAGCCTAAACTGGGGAGTCCCCAGGAGGGCAAGGGTGATATCCTTCTAGCATAGTTTCATTTCAGGGACCCAGTCTGGTTTTATTGCTGTTTCCCTCTGTTTCCCCCAGGTATTTCACGGCTAGACGATCAAATCTTCCTGAACAGGAATCCGGGTGTCCCCTCTGTGGTGAAGTTCCACCCCTTCACGCCGTGCATAGCAGTAGCTGACAAAGATAGCATCTGGTAAGAGCCTATTTGGGATTTTCATGGATTGGCTGCCATGTGGTGACCAGACATGTAAGGACTCTCCACCAGAACGATGTAACACAGAGCAGTACGCACCATGTATTGAAGGCATTAGCTCTCATCTGCCTCCCCACCTGCATCCATAGTCATTCCCCTTCCTCCTCGGCTGGACAGGGCAGGCCTCCTTCCGGAGCCTGTTTGTATTGATCCAAGCACTGCCCGGAGAAACATGCAAACAGAGGGCCTAGAGGGTCTGAGCATGTTGCCCCGGTAGCATCTGAGCACAGAGGCCTCCTGTCCATAGATGAGTGCAGCCTTTGGTGGTTTTGAAGTCTGTCTCTGTCCTGTATTAATCAAATATAAGCTACTGTCTTCTTGTGTTGGTAGGTGGAGAAGCCTCATTACAACTAGATTTGCAGTGGGCACTTATAATAGTAATCTTATTACTTCCTCTGCAGAAGCTAGAGATGTTATGGAAAGTTATTAATAAAATGACACTGAACACTCTCAGGAGAAAACCATGTTTAATTTGTGTCCAGTGTTTATAATCTTCTGTACCAATGTAATGGGAAGAGCTGCTTTTTTAATGGCTTGTGCAGTGAACCAAGTCTTTTTCTCTCAGTTTTTGGGATTGGGAGAAAGGGGAGAAGCTGGACTATTTCCACAATGGGAACCCTCGCTACACCAGGATCACGGCGATGGAGTACCTTAATGGCCAAGACTGTTCTCTGCTCCTGACAGCCACAGGTGAGCCCAGCCCACGTCACCAAAAGCCCTGGGACAGGAGTCATGCTCTATGGGCTTAAGGTGTATGTAAGAAGCTCTGAGCCCTCTCCTGTTTCTTAAGGGTCTGGCTCCAGCACACTCCTGCTACCTTTGGCCCCCATGGGAGTTGCAGCCTGGACAGGGCATCTCTGGGAAGCTGTTCTTGTCCTGCACACTCAGACACTCTCTTAAATATGAAAATCACTTCTGTGGATGTTTCTAGTTGAACACAAGATGCTACGAATACATTGTGAGACTCTCTTTTCAGTAGAAAGCAGGGTAAATTTGCACCTTATAGGCTAACCGAAGTAAATACAAGTATTTTGTGGGCTGAAGCTTGTGCTACACACACATGCACATGCATGCACACCCCTTCCCTACTTTGGTCAGTCTATAAGGTGCAAATCTACCTTGCCTTCTGCTTGACTTCAGACTAACACAGCTAACTACATCTCACTGTTTTTGGTCACTGTTGCAGCTGGGTCATTACGTAGCTTTGAGTCCTCGCTTAACAGTAATAAATCATGTTACCATCTTCCTGCATAGGTGACCCAGTTCTTTAGCTGCAATTTAATGGGGTAAAAGGTTAGTGTTTATGACAAAGAAAAAGACTATGCTGCACATGTGCTGTCAATGGCTACAGAGAGTTACTAGCATAGGTTTCACTATAGAGTGGACAGGGCCTTTATATATATATTTTTTTTTAAATCAAACTTCTGAAATGGTTCTGAATTTTTCTGCAAATCCCTTGCTCATGCCTGATGGCAAACCTAAGGAACAGTAGTGTAATCTGCCCCATAACATCCTGCAGGGAAGAACAAGGTGCTGTTTTTCCTATTCATCAGCTGTGAGTAGGACTTATTTCTAACAGGGCTCCGATCTGAACCTGTCAGTCTATAGGTTTTCAAGTGCTTTTCAAACTTAGCACTCAAGCGTGTGGGTTTGTTGCAGTTAAGGAATGAGGAAGTGGGGTTGTGAGGCCTCTAGGACATTTATCTTACAAATTACAGCTTCTTAGCACTAAAGTTTCATTGTTGTGGAGCAAAATAAGACTTGATGCTTCCAGGAGGTTTCTGAGAGGCTGGCTCTTGTTACAGCATCTCTCTCTGGTTCTTTGGTAATTAAGAGTACTTCTGGTGTTCAGCATAGATAGCAAAGAAGGTATCAGTGACCCAGAGAAAATGAATTGGTTTGAGGAGAAGAAACTACAGGTAATTTCAGGTGTTTGCTGATGAGAAGTGCAAGTGCAGTCCCCAGTGGTGTAATACCGAGGTGGCACGGGTATATGGTTAGAGAGCAGAAGAAGCTTAACAAGAAGGAGGAGAGATTGTTGACAAAGTGGCCAGAAGCTTAGATGACACTTTCCATCTAAGAGTCTGCAGCCACAATGCTAGTGTCTTTCTCCTCACCAACTGCTCTGGGTTACTGAGTGACACCTGTCTCAGCCAGTGCATTGCCTCTTGTTCTGTTTTCCATGCTCTTCATCAAGATGACGGCGCCATCAGGGTGTGGAAGAACTTTGCCGACCTGGAGAAGAATCCCGAGATGGTGACGGCCTGGCAGGGCTTGTCGGACATGCTGCCAACCACGCGAGGTGGGTGTGTGCTGGATTCCCATCTGTGGGCAGAAATAACTTGCCACGGTGGGGCTTCTTCTAGGGATGGGTAAAGTGGAACAGGTTGCTCTACTTCAGCCTTCAGTAACATCCTTGTTAACAGTCTCTGTGCCTTGTGGATGACCTCTTACCAAGTCGTGGTGAGGACGTGTTTGTTGTCATTATACTTGTTTTCTCCCAACTCTCCCATGAAAAAAATCCTCACGAGCTCTCCTGAATGAGCACAGCTCCAGCAGCCAAGCTGGGAAGGAGGGCAGTGCTGTAACAGGGTAATAGAGGGCAAGCCATGGCCTCTTTCTAATTTTGCTTCCGAGGAGAGACCTGTACTACAAGGGTGTACTGAACACTTACCTACTCCGAACTGGTGGTTATTTCTCCCCCACTTTGGGTTTGATAAATAGCTCTCTTCCTTCTTCTCCTTGGATTGGCTGCTCACCCTTCGCACGGCTTTGCATGTGGCACTTGTGACTTCAGTTAGTTTGCGGTTCCATGTTTAGCACTTCCTTCTCCCGTTTACTCTGGGTTGAGCTGTGATGGAAGAACATGTCGTCTAAATGGCATAGGTACGGGATGGGGTCCCGGGTGGATTGACACTTCTAGGGTCCTTAAGGCAGATGAGGCAGATGATGTGAAAAGAGCACCTCCCCCTTCAGCCATGCCTCAGTGCTGAAACCAGGAGGCAGGGTGGAGGGACTGTGGATTCTGTTCTAGGCTATGGAAGAGGGGAGATATTCTGTCTTTCCTAGCCTGGGAATGCACCAGTGCTCTGAGAGTGATTCTCCACCGCCTGAATTCTTCCAATCAAGACTGATTTACAGATCAGTAGTAAGAGGTGTGACGTGGGACTTGCTGGGGAAGTTCTCTTCCCAGTGCCCCTCAGGAAATCAGATTTTACAACCACCCAGTGTGAATTGGGCCTTAAAGCATGACAGCTGTCGTTTCTGAGCCTGACCTGGTACTCCTCGGCTTGTACGTGCGCTGCCTCATCCAGGGCAGACCCGGGACCTCTTCCTGAGCACCACACAGCCTGCCGCTGGCATCATAGCCAAAAACAAGCGTGTTTGTTGTCATTCAGCTCCATGTCGCACTATCACACATGCATGTAATGGATTGCAAACTGCTGGGAGTTAGCAGCATGCTGAGAAAACTGCAGTGGCTGAAACCTACTTTTGGCAGGGTGCTCAATAAAAGCAGGAAGAAGCCACTGGTTTGCTCTCAGCTGTTAAGTGTCTGGATCTGTGCTCCTCCTCCATGGAGAGGAGGGCACGAAGCAGGCATCTTTCTAGCCCCATTCAGTTGGTGTCTGTTTCTCTCTTGCCACCGTCGGGCTTTGTGGGAGGTGTTGATTAATCGTGTCTCTCTCTGGACTCAGGCTCTCACTTCCACTGCTCTGGTAACAGACTCCCCCAAACAACTGGCATCCAGAAATCCTCCAAGGCTCCCATTGTCTTCTGCTTCTTGCTGCATTATCTGCAGTGCTCAGAGGAGATGATAACACGTGCAACCCGCGTAGTCCCATTGTGTCTCTCCCAGTACCTACCTGCATCTTAATCAGGACAGGGCATTTGCTGCCTGCCCCGCACCTCACTTTCCACTTTGCACAGACTTCGGTGCAGCAGTTTGACATCACGGAGCAGGTGATGCACTGAGGTAAGGGCTATTTAGCTGCAGGAGTCGGATGGCTGTGCTGGGGAAGGCGGCGCTGCTGCGGCTTCTGAGTCCTTTTCCCCTATGCCTCTCTTCACACCCTCTCCTTTCCACGTGGCCTTACCCCACCTGGATGTGGTATTCTTTGCCATTCACCTTGGGGAGTGATTAGACAGGATGCAGAAGAAGAGAAGCACAGATGTCTTTGTGGAGAGAAAAAAATAAATTCACTCACTTCAAAAGAGGAGAGTGAAATATGTCCCCTTGGAAATGAGATTCTGGGCTGAAGTGCTAGCTTTTGTTGCAGAGACCATGGTTACAGCCCAGCACAGAGCCTTAAAACACCTGACGTTCCTTTGAAGCCATTGTGCTCACCAGTGCTTTGCACATTGCTTCCCTCCTTTCTTTCTCTGCCGAGGATGCTTACATGGAGGCGGGCGCTTTGTTGGAGTCTTAGCTGCTCCCCTTGTTAATTTATTGTTTTTTCTCTCCCTCCTTCCCCACTCCCAGTGTCATCCCCATCTCTATGATTTCATAGACTTCTTGACAGCACCCAGGATGCTGGCTTTGGGGAATAAGCGTCAGACTGTTAAGAAACACATCGACTCTCCACATGGATTCTCTCATTGGAGAATAACAGGCTGCAGTGGGGTAGGACTGATATGCCAAATGCAGAATAGAGGGACAGGCTACATCCCACCGTTCTGCAAAACATCGGCAGGTTGTCTCAGAGTTGGGAGATCCACAGCTGCCGCTCAGTACCTTTCATCACACTCCTTCATGCCTGTCAGCTTCTTGCCAGCCGGAGATGCTGGAACCTATCCAAATTAAGGCTTCGTTTACTCCAGGAGGTTGTACCCGTTTAACTGAAATGGTTTAGGAAGCCATTTTGAGGCCATGTCTGCATGCGACATTCATCCTTAGACAAATCAGTTTAATACTGACAAGTCAAGGAGCACTGAATATGGAGGCTGTCGTTCAGCAGCCAAGTAAGCTCTGTTGTCCATACCTTCATCAGCTTTTGAGAGTCAGTGTAGGAAAGGCCTGTGTTAAACTGGAGCAAACCTCTGCGATGGGGGCTCTTATTTCAGTTGCGCTCAAATCCCAGCGTAAGCTCTACCAGAGCAAAGCTATCTGACCAAAGGTTGCTCCAGTTTGGTTTCACACTTTGGATTAAAACAGTGCTGGTTTCTTTTGTGGACAAGCCCCAAGCCCCCGGCTGGAGAAGAACTCATGTTGTTAGAAGTGTCATGTTTTGAAGCCTGCAAAAATGAGATCTGCAAGCACAAAACTGTGCAGCGCTGAAGGAAACCTCTAAGAGCACTTTCTTGAGCAGCATTAGATAGGCATCAACTCGAATTGATACAAGTTTGGGGTCCCAGTGCAAGAGGCTTCAGGGGTCACGTAGTTACTATAAAAGCAGAGTGGTTTTGTGAATGGCTTGAGATCCCAGGGCTGTCAGGCGTGTGTGCAGTGCAGTGCCGTGCCGTGCCTGCCGACAGGTTTGCATACGAGAGTCCTGTTCGGAGGAACTCAGAACATGCTTTTTTGAATGCGTCACCCCACTGCTTGGCTCCATCTCTGGAAGCAAGAGATTATGTCAATGCTTCCCCTGAGTGAAGTCACACTTGCTACCCGGGTCCTTCACGACAAATGCACATGGGGGGGAATTGGGAAATGAACAAATAAGGCAGAACCTCCAGTCTCCAATCTCAGCTCTTCTAAACCCCTCAGGCTCTCAAACGTGGAGGAGAAGGGAGACAAGATCAGCTGCCCTGGATCCACCAGAGGATATCTGCTCCTGTGTGACCTTCCAGCCTCCCCCCGCGCCCCTCTAGCCTTGTCAACTGCAAGAGTCATCATTGCTTTCCTTTGTCCAGCTTGGGAAAGAGAACCAGTGTCGTTTGCAAAAGAGGGTCTGGATCAGACCTTCCTGTCCTCAGACTAGCTAGATCTCTTGCTGAACACCTGGGCATTCGCATGACAAAAATAAGCCAGGGTCTCAGCATGCACTTAAATGCAGCATGTCCCTGCAACAGTGCCGTTACCCTGCAGTTTCTTTCGCTCTCCAGGTTTGATGATGGCCTGAAACTACACCATTTCTATGGCTAATTCCCTACTTAAGAGCTACTTAGACAGAGCATCTGTAAACCGTTCGCACACCCTGTCTGCTCATTAGCAGTCCACTGAAGGATGGGGCAGGAGAGCACATTATGCTGCCCTGCAGCAGCACTAACTGCTCAAAGTGCGAGCCTTTAATGACAAAATCTTGGTGTTCTGTGATATACACAGATGTTTGTGCCATGGGTCATTTAGACCTTCATTTGTCACTCCCCTGCGAGATGCATTTCACTTAGTCCAAAGAGCAGAAGCATAAAAAGGATCGAGAGAGTCTCCAGATTCGGGAAGAAGCTTACCAATCAAATTTGTGGTGTTGTCAGACAGACCAGCCTTTTATGTCCTACTTAGCAAGCCCCATTGTTAATGGCTTCCCAGGAAAAGGCTGCTGTGGCTAAAGCCGAAATGCCGCCTTTTCCCAGGGCAGAGGCATGTGCTGCACTTGGTGTTGCTGCTTCTCTCTCGTGTGTTCTTCTCCTTTGCTTTTCTAATCCTTTTTTAAATATTTGTTTTGCTTTGGCTGACCAGCTTACCCTTGGCATCAACCCCTTAATCCCTGTCTTCTCACAGGTCTGGCCCGAAGGGTTTCAATCTATCTTGACAGAAGTAAGCAGGGAGGTGAGTGCTTTCTTTCCTCTTACCTATGACCAGCTGGGTTGGGGAGGACTGCCTTGTCCCAGTCTCTCTTTGTTTTAATTTTGTCTGGTGTCCATGTGAATGTTCGCTGGGTCTTTTTGGTTCCTGGAAGGCTTTGCTGCTTCTGCCCATCCCATTCCTTGCCTGGTATACATGTCTGTAATGAGAGATGGAAAGTGCCATGAAAGGTGCCTGGTGCTGTATGGACGGGGGGCAGGAGTTTATTCTAATGTGACTCGTTACGATCGTGTTCTCTGCAGTTTTGGGCCGTTTTGCAGTGAGGGGACATGCGGGTGGTCTCTTGGGACGTATATAGGATCGTTCCAAACTCTGCTTGGATCAGAGAGTTGGAAGGGCAGTTTCCAAATGGCAGCTACGTAAAGCCATCAAACCAATATGATCTTTATTGTTGCTAATTTATCTTTCACACGGGTATCCTATCAAATCTGTATGGGGAAGTGAGTGGTCAGTGCATCTTTCATACTGGGCTCTGGCTAGGAACTTATTCCTTTGGCTGATACACATCTGGTAACGTTTAGCTTTTATGGGAAAGGGTAGGTAACTCTAGTCTGTGGCTGCAGGAGCAGGGCGTGTGCTGCGTCTGTGGCACCATTGGATTCGTACCTCCTTCGTTTCTGCTAAGGAGATGGATGGCTTGCTTGTCAGGGCACCTGTACGTGTGTGTGTATGTATGTGCGTGTAAGCTGATACAGTCATCTTGGGCTGTTCATCAATTATTAATATTCACTAGCTGATAAGGGCTTGAATGTGTCTGTAGTGATTAGTAGAACAAAGGTGATTGCATTGGGTTGTGTGATTCAGCACTCTTTAATTAGGGGACTTGCTCTCCCACTGGCTGTTCAGATGCAAAGCAAGGGGATCCGACTTTGCCGAGTTGATGTGTTGCTATTAGCATCCAGGCTTTGCGTTTCCCTGGGAATTTGCCGGCAAATCAAAAAGGCTAAAATTAGAGCGGCAGGGTTGAAAGGAATTCCCCATTCAATCAACTGGGCATCGGAGCAGTTTAAGGAAATACCAGACACTCCTGTGCAGGATCAATACTGATAATGCTAAGCAAGCACTGCCGTGTCCAGAGCACACAAGGATGTGTGAATCAATAAAGACATTCGCCAGCGCTGAGGTCCCAGGCATTCTCGTAATGAAAAATGCAGCAGGGATTTTCCTCTCCCTGTCCCTGTCGGCGAAGGAGTTCTCAAGAGCGTTCAAGTTTAACCATTTGTCACATGGCCAAAGCATCAGCTCCTTCCAAAACAGATGCATCCATTACCCTGCCAAAGCATCAACGTTCAGTTGATTTCATGGAATTGCACTTATTTATTCATTCAGTTGATACACTGCCCTTTCCGACAAAGGCTCAGAGCAGCTTACAATAATTGGACAGAATAACTTATAAAACAGCAGTGTGCCTGTGGGCTTCCATATGAGGCGAGGCTAGGCCTATTCAGCATGAGGGGGTACACGAGAAGGGCTCATGAAATACTAAATAGCGAAGAGAATGGGAATAGGAATTTATTCTTTACTATCTCTTGCAGTGCAAGAGTGAGGGGTCATAAAATGAAACTGGGAGGTGGTAAGTTTAAAATGAGCAAAAGGAAGTTTTTTCACACAGCGTGGCATTAGCGTGGAAGTCATAGCCCCAAGATGTTGTGAAAGCTGAGAGTTTAGGCAAATGCAGAAAGGGACTGGATGCATTCTTGGAGGAAAGGGGCATCGGTAGCTACTGAGCATGAGAGTTACAGGGATAGTCTCTTAATCAGGACTTCCTAGGTCTTAAATGCTGGAGGCTGCAAGTGGGTGTGCAACAGTGAAAAAACCTCTGGTTGTACCCAGTTCACTCTCCCTTTCAGCATCTGCCATGTGTCTGCCACCGTGTGACACAGGAGACTGGGCAAGACGGACTATGGTCTGATCCAGTAAATGGCAGTTCTTACGTTCTCGTGATGCAGTGAATTCCCAAAGCGCGGCGTGCTGGCGATTTGCATATTTCAGTATTTGCATTCTTTCTCGTAGGGCAAAAATGCTTGTGCTGTCTGCTCAGTTAAATTTCACCTCGTTCTTCCCATAACGGCTTTTGCCTTATTTCAGTTACTGCAGAAGCTGACGTTAGAAAAAGGAATGCAAAGATCAGTTAATCAGCTCATGCAAAGATGTCTGCTCACACCAGGCCATTTTTCATAATGCTTCAAATTAAGAAACATTTTTCCAGTATGGCAAGCGATCACACGTGGCTTTTTCCTGTTTTAAATTAATAAGCACGTTCCCTTTTTTAAGGTAAATGTTACACTTTTCCTGTCATTAGCCCCTGTATCGCCCTAATTGGATCGCTCATGGAGAGGCCTGCAGAAAGAGAGCTGCAGAGAGATTTTCCTGCGTGTGGGGTGCTCCTATTGGTTAGGCACTGGCATGTGGTCCCCTGTAACAGCGCAAGGAGCGTTTGAACAGCAGTTGACATGATTTCCAATTTCATCGCCAGTGAGCCTCGTAGAGCAGACGAAAAGCCACGCCTGGAGGGGCTGGTGGTGCCGTGCCCCCCGCAGTCGCGATCGGGTCGGCTGTTTCTCAGGCACAGGGGAGGGACGGATGTTTTTATTGTTCCCCGTTTTGCTTACCAGCATAGTCTGCTTACTTGCATCGTTGTGTTGGAAAGGAAGCCTGTGCAATCGCGGGAATCTAGAGCAGTCACAGGTGACTGCACTGAGTCCCAGCATCCTAGTCTGCTGGCGGTGAGGAAACGAACCCCGCGAGGAGCTGTGTACATGCATGAAGACCCAGGCGCCCTGTGCCGAGAGCGTGCTCACTTGGGGAGGGAAGGGGAGAAGGCTGGCATGGAGAAACTTTCCTGTCTGCCTTCCTCCTCCTCATCTCCGTTAGTTTTGCTATATAAATGCGTGCGCTTTCTCCTGCCTCACTGAGGTCTCTTCTGTTCAGACCAAGCAGCAGACGACGACACGTGCTTCCAGCCGCATCCCTCCTTCCTGCACTCCCCATGCTCCCTAAACAAAAACCTTCAAATCTCAGACCCTGCCAGAGCAGGAGTGCAGTCTCCCGGGGCCTCACTCTGCCTTTTAATAATGCTGACACTTAACTGTGGCAGAAAGCGAGCAGGCTGGATTGGGAGGAGAGGGGGGCAGCAGCTGAGATGCTATCATGATTTTAGAGCTAACACAGGTAGCGGAGGGGGATTCTGAAGGGGACGTGTGGACTGGGCTGGCTGGGGTGCCCTGGCCATGCGGTGGGAAAGCCTGCAGCAAAGGGGCTGCTTGCCCCAGTGTGGAGGGACCCATTAGGGCCCGTTGGGGCCAGGTGCTGAGCTAAAAGCCAAAGGAGTCCAACAGGGAAAGAGGGAGGTGGAAGTAAATCCCAGCATCTCTCCAGGGCTGGTGCTGGCTCTTCTGGGGGCAGAGTGCTAGAGAGAAGCACTGTCAATAAGGTCAGGGTCTTTATGGAAATGCAGTAATTAGAGGAGCTGAGCTCCAGGACGAGGGCTTTGGGTTCTTCAGAGGACATTCCCAGAGGGCTCGTTTCCTTTCTCGCTGCCTGCCCTGCTCCGCATGGAAAGGGTGCCCAGCCTGGGAGCACATTTGCAGAGCGAGGGACCACAGCCCTCCTGCTGCTGCCTGGAAATTGAGAGACGCACCTCTGCTGAACCAAGGGGCCTGCGCTGAAAAGATCAGCTCTGCGAGGTTTTTATATCATGGTCCACGATGGCATTTCCAAACTAATCAAAATGCCAAGTACAGGTTGGCCACGTTCCAGCAATGATAAAAATAAGTGCATGCACTTGGAATGCAGCTGCTTCCAGCTCCGGCATTATTTATTGAAATTTATACAGGGAACTATCCCATTGAGACAAATATCTGATTTGCAAGGGGAATCCTGCAGGGAACAGCCATAGAAAGTTACAGCTTCAAGAACAGTTGTTGATATGCATCGCCTATATATCATTTCACATCATGCAGAGCTGCTAGTACTTGTGCTAAAGGCTCAACTAAAACCCTTTCTCAAATTGTTTTCCTGGGCTGTGGAAGATTTGTTATCCAAGAATGAAGGATCCCTGGTAGGAAAGACATAGTCTCAATTAATGGTGTGTTAAGGGGATGCTGTCGTCAGGTTCTTGATCCTGAAATGTGGAGGTATTTAGAAGTGCCACAGTTGTAATTACCAGCCTTTGTCATGGTGCATATATCATAGCTTTCCCTCTTTGTCAGGCCCGTTCTCATGAGCAAGCAGGAATGGGGAAGAGACATGGATGGTTACATACATATAAGAGGATCCTGCTCTGGGGCTCTTTTATCAAGCAGGATGTGTGTCTGGTATATCTTGCCTTCTCTCTAGAGCAGAGATTCTCAACCAGGGCACCGTGGCACTCCAGGGTACCTTGAGATGCTTTCAGGGGTGCCAGGCAATGAAAGCACTGTCAGGTATACAAACCCCATCCACAAGATAAATCCTGAGTTTTCAAAGAGGAATCCATAGGGTTAAAAATGTTCCTGCCTGCTGTGGTCTCTCTGAGTCCCTTGCAACCAAAGAATTGCTCTAGTATTTTTCCTTAATCAGAAAATGAGGGAAAACTAAGAGCTGGTGTTTGCTGAGGGAAGTCTTGAGTCTATTGAGAGATGTCTCGAATCTATCGAGAGGTTCCTTGAGTCTGAAAACATTGAGGACTGCTGTTCGGGAGCAAAGCCATGGGTCAACAGAGCAGGGAACCAGCCTGTCCGCCCCGTGAGCCAAAATGCAGCAAGGTGAACCTCCCTTAAGCTGTAGCATCTTGGAGTTTTTTTGTAATGAAAAAAGACTTCTCTTGCCCCTGCTTTTGAATAACTTGGATTTCTGCACAAGACCTGCAGTAGCATCAGCACCTCAGCTGTTTATTCAACCCCAGTCTTAATTTCTCATTCAGTATTTCCTAACTGCAGCCTGCTTTCTTTCCCTAATAGCCCCTCACCTTGAAAGGGGTTGGAAATGTGTCATCTAAGCCTCTTTTATTTCACCCATTGTTCTTGTCATCTGCTGCAGCCCTGCGCGGCTGGAAGGTGAGACTTCCCAGGGTGTAATGTATTCCTCATATTCAACATGTGGGCAACCTCTGGTGACGAGAGGCTTAGCAGTTTTCAGGTTGAAGGTCTGAGGCTGTTCAAAGTCTCTCATCAAGGAGAATGCGGAGATCACCCCTTGACTCCTGTTTGTATGCAGCAGATACTCTTTTCTCTCTTGTGCATGGATCGTTTGGGGCACTGTGCAAACCATGTGTCTCATGTTAACGAGCCCCCCTTGCATCAGATGAGGTAAAAAGGGCATTTCTCGCTTTGGTGAGAGAGGACAGGGAGGGCAAGCTAGCACGTAGGTCACTCATGCTGTGGTTATGAAATCCTTGAGATCCAGATCTCTTCCTCGTGGAACGGAGCTGCCAGGTACTACAGTGAGGGAGGTTCCTGAAAGCTAATTCAGACTAGCAGCAAATATAGCATGTGCCCGTAGGACTCTGCAGTCCTGCCTCATGCTGCGCTCTTAGAAGGCAGCAGGCTCTTCTCGGTAAAATGGCATCTCCTCCAGCTGCGTGAAGATCCCTCCACATGTGATGCAGCCCTTCAGAACTCGCTTTCCACCCTTCTTCCTCTCCCAAAGCCCTTCCTGAGGGGTGTTGGTTGTAGCTGTCTTGGTCTAAGGACACAGGCAGACAGGGTTCTTCGGGTAGATGTGATACCTTCTATAAGACCAACTAAATAGTTGGAAAAAAGTTCTTTGCAAGCTTTCAGGCACAGAGGGAGTTTCCCAGTCACTGAAGAAGGGTGTTTGTGCTAGAAAGCTTGCAAAAAACTTCTTTCCAGCTATTTAGTTGGTCTAATAAAAGATACCACATCTGCCCAAAGAACCTTGCTTTCATAAGAGTAAATTCTCTCTTTCCACCGTGTAAATTCTCCTGAGGAATCGGCCCAGCCCCGGCATGTCTTGTATGAGAGATGATCTCTTCTGGGCTCCATGCCAAAGGGAGGTCTTCTCCTCGCGCTCCGCACCTTGTGCCGGGAGAGCCCAGCGACGGCTGGAAGGAACGAGCTCTTCACGGTGACCTGGGAACGAGCGGATCAAGCTGTGGTGCCCGTGACACCAGGCAGGACCTCTGCACTGATGTTCTCCTGGGCCTTCTCCACAGTGGAAAATCTTCAGTCTCCACGTGGTTTAGGGATTATGGCTAATGATTATATTGAAGAAAATTATTGTCTTCAAACTGGGGACAATAACTAGAAAATTGGGAGCTTCAAAGCTGCCTAACAGAGCTTTGCCTACTTAACTCCATCAGTGATGGTAATGGCAGTATCCATCTCAGGCCTGCCAGGTTTATCCTGTCACATGGGCCATAAACAGATGACAAATGAAAACACTTTGGAGGTGCTTATCATCTAAATCACTGCCGGCTTGTTTGCTTAGGATCTCTAGCAGCCCTTGGAGTTGCCAGGCAATCTGAAGTAACAATCAGTTTGACTCACAAGATGAAGATAGGAGCTATCAGCCTAACTGCAGAGTCCTGACTTTCCTGCAGTAGGATGAAAGACAGACTCTCAATTAATGTCAGCAGATCACCTGAACCCAGAGCACGCAGGAGATCAGGAGGGGGCTCGGATGGCAGGGAGGAGAAGTAGGTCTGCGTCTGCACAAAGCCGGGTCGCCCCATCATCTGTAAAGCAGGTTGGCTCTTAGCATCTCCTCTTGATCACACACACACACAGCATGTCTGTTAGGGTGGGAGTACAAAAAACAACCGTATCCATGTCCGTGCCATTCCAGTCTGCTCAAGACATCCTTTAACATTGTGGTCTTATAGGATGAGGGATAATTTATTATGGCTCCCTTACGGTCCCACAGTAGCATCCCATCTTGACCCAGGAGGGCTGGGTGCTAAAGGGGTGAGAGCATATGTAGACCAGAGCATTTCTAGCCCAAGACGTGAAGGTCCTAGCTGTAGGAACAGATGGCTTAGTCCACTTGGCAAGGAGCATGGGTGTATGTCTGTGTAGCACTAGCCTGTTTGGACACACTGACGTGTTGAACAGTTTAGAATTGCAAAACCGGGTCTTTGGTTGTGTTCAGCTCTGCTGGTGCACATGCAGAGAATAATTTTCCTGCCCTGTCTGTGTTTTGTCATAGGAGCAGGAATGGTAGTGGACTGGGAGCAGGAAACTGGGCTTCTCATGACGTCAGGAGATGTGCGGATTATCCGGATCTGGGACACAGACAGAGAAATGAAAGTCCAGGTAACAGCTGTGCATATACCTTGTCGACCCTTTCTCTGCTGCTAGTGGGACCTCTGGAGCTAGGCACCAGGGAGTGTGTTTCTGGGCGACATCATGCAGTGCATTAGCACCTGCAGCCAGAGGTTCTCAGATCGGGCTCTGTGGAAAGCCGATGGATCTCACAGTGCTGACTCTCCTTTCCGGCCACACAGCCACATCACAAGGCAGCTAAAAACGTGTGAATGCTTCCTTACATATTGCAGTGCCTTTCCTTGTCAGCAGTTGCCATTGCTGTTCCACTGAATGACAGGCAGTTGGATGTGGGGGGAGGAGGGGTTTGGGCAATGCAAAATAGCGGGGAGGGGGAGCGGGAATCAGGTTTCCTGCATCGGGACATTGGAGTGACATGTCTGTGATCCATGTTCTGACCCGGTGAGCAAAGTTGGGAGTCGCTGCCAGGTCTGCAGCAGAGAACTGCAGCTCAGCAGAGAATTTTTCCCGGTGCGTGATGGTCACTGATAACGAAGCATTAAAAATGCTTCTGGTTTTACAGATGACTGCATAGCACTCGCCTGTACCCAGGCAGTTCCCTTTCACACCTGCTAAACTCACTCTTTCAGAATTATGGGGATTCCCATTGCTTTCATCCCACTCCAATGCATCTCACCTCAGACAGAGCGCTTGGATGTGGCAGCACTCTAACTACTCGTCTCTTTTCATTTCAAATAAATGGGGAGAAAGTGTAAGCATTCGTGTCAGTTGTGATTGAATTAAGCTGATATTTAAGCAGTGCAAGGCAAAGCAGCAGCCTGGCAAAAATAAAGTCACCATGCCGGGGAAGATGAAGACACATCTCCAAAGATTTTAGGAATTAATTACCTCTGGATGAGCATTAATTATGACACTTTGACCCTGCAATGCAGTATAATTAAGCCTATGCTAATCTTAATTATTTTCAAATATTATTTTATCTGCATAAATTAGAGAACATCAGAAAGCAGTAGGGTGAAAATCTTTTAAATTAGAATGATTAATGATTGTACTGAGAGCATTGTGTTTCTTTTTTAAAAAATGCACAAAGTGGTTTTGCTGAAATTCTGATGATCGAAAGTTTGTGACTTAGTCGCACTGCCACGCTGACAGGCGGTACGGAGAGTAGTGGAGCTGGGAGAACCAGGCTAATAAGGATGCTTTCCTACCCTTTGAACTGCTGAAAGAATACATCTGGGAGCAGACCAGTGGTAGCTGTGGAACAAGGACTTCTTTTTCTCTCTCCCCAAATGTCCCCGCTGCAGAGACAGGAATTGGGGTGGGAGAGACGTAGGTTGTTAGCTTTCTAAAGGCAGCCTTCCAAAGAGAGGTGCCTCCAGGAAATGGTTAAATCATTCAGCAGAGGCTGTGAACAGCAGCTAGAGAAGGTGGATAGGAGCAAGAACAGAAATAGGACTGAAGTGTGAAATTAGCTAATGCCATTCCAGAGCGCCACTTTGATTGTTATCTGAGTTTGAAAATGTGGCTCGGGCTCTTTTTTTTCTTATCTGTTTTAATTGAAGCTGTTTTTCTTCTTCACAGTTGTATACTTATTATTCCAAATGGATCTTTGGTTGTAACAGATAGGGGGGAAAGCTGCAGTATTAGAATAATGGCGCATAACTGATTTCCAGCAATATCATCGTGGCTCTTTACATTCTTAACCTCCAAATTAAGACGTACAATAGGTGCAGTCTCTACATGCAGGTGTTGCCTCTAAACCCGCGTGCCCTGTAATTGTAGAGCATGGATTGCCAGGTTCTGCTCCTGACTTGGCACCGACTCCCTTTGCTTTCTTACACAAGTCACTTAATGACTCTGTCTTAATTTACCCATCTGTAAAGTGGGAGTAATGATGATCAGCCTCACAGAGGGGCTTTAAAGTGATTTGAGATCAACTGATGAAAGGTGAAAGAGGGAGCCAAAGTATTGTTAAAGCAAAAATGGAAATGACAGAGCCGAATGGTTCTCATTATGCAGAATGACTCTAATTATCATCAAACGGAAACAATTTTTGGTAAAATAGTTTCATTCTTTCTAGAGGGCAAGTAGGGTTTTAGATTATGTACACACAGTGGTACATGATACACCGTATGGCAGGAGCCTGAGGAATGGAAAAGACCTGCTGTACCAAAGCATTTGTCTTAAGAGGCCTGTTTTTCCAGACTGCTTTCCACTGCAGGGGAGTCTGCTCTTGGAGGAAAGACATCCTAGTTTGGTGCATAGGAAATGCACCAAACCTGCTTTTTAATCGGATGCGCTTTCTGTTGCATAGTCCCTTTGAGTGTCCTGGAAAGGTATCGGTCTTTCATCAGGAGCACATTTAACCCAGTATTGGTCTGTCATTTGGTTAGAAAGAGCGATTGCTCTGCAAGCTTGTTTCCTTAACAACCTCTTCACAGGAGTGTTGGTAGACGATGTTGCCTGTAACATGTGCTGAATCTCTCCTTTCGTGGACGCTTGGTTCTCTTTCACACATGTCACTTAACTGCAAGATATTTATTTTCAGCAAACACACTCCTCCTCCCTGGCTCATCTCTCTCTTTTTTTTTAACCAAGTATTTACCATTCATCCTGCCCTTCCAGCAGCATTTGCAACCAGCAGAAGCTGCAGAGGGTTTATGGCTCAAGAGCTCCGCCCTGACATTTCTCTTAATTAATTAGATGTTTTTAGGAGGGGAATAACATTGATTCTTCCTTCCCAAAGTGGACTTCCTCCCTTATTTTGATGTGTAAAGTTTAAGTACACCAAAAAGCTGGTCCTTTAATAGAGCGTGTTGCAGTGCTCGAAAGGAAACTCATGTTTGCATCTTGCTGCTCCGGCTGAGCTTTGGAGGCCGTGGAGCTGATGTGTGTGTACTGCAGGGACGGTATCAGTTCCTTGACCCCATGCTCATCAGGCCCTGATTTCTGGAACTGCCTTGACCGTCTGGTGACTCTGGTTCCAGTTCAGTTCGGTTCTCCCTGTACATGACAGCAGTATGGTGGAAGTTAGAGTAGCCTGCCAGCGGAGGGAGAGCACACTGAAACCCTGAGTGAATGAGGAGACTGCCCAAGCCCCTTGGAGTATGTAGGTCAGCAAAAGCTGTGGGGCCAAGCTAACACTCTTCCTCGGTTTCACCATGGTCTATGTGCACACTTTATCCCCAGGATATCCCCACAGGAGCCGACAGCTGCGTGACCAGCCTGTCCTGTGACTCTCATCGCTCGCTGATCGTGGCAGGGCTTGGCGATGGTTCCATTCGTGTCTTCGACAGGAGGATGGCTCTGAGTGAATGGTAATGACCTGGAGCCTCTGCACCTTTCATCGGCGAGGGATCTCCTCCCTTAATCTCACTGGTGTCTTCCCCGAAGGCCCGAAACCTGTAAGGCCCTTATCAACTCTGGCATGGTCTTTGGTGCCCGGAGAGGGTCCCTGGAGGATCTGCAGGATCTCACTGAGCACTGTGTAGCCTGAGCCATAGCAGGCATGGGCCGGATCTCGTACTGTCCTGCCTCATCAATCTTGCTGATAACCTGTTGGCTCAGGGACTTGATCAGATAGTTTCCATTGCTTGGAGTGCTTTGCCTGCCTGTTGCAAAGGACCAGGTCCTGCATTATCAGGTCTCCAGACTTGATAACAAAGAGAAGGTCCATCGGGGTAGCTGTCTCCTGGGGACAGGGGGCTCGAGGAGCTCACCAGCCCTCCCCTAGTTTCATCCTGCTTCCCCCCATAACATTTTCTCTCTCTCCACTTGGTCTTCAGCCGCGTCATGACCTATCGGGAGCACACAGCCTGGGTAGTGAAAGCCTATCTGCAGAAGCATCCTGAAGGCAACATCATGAGCGTCAGGTAAAAGGGCCTGGGCTGTTTGGGAGGGTTTCCTGCAAATCCATCCTGTTCCTTTGCAGTGCAAATCTGTCACTGTTATGAAAGCTCTTTTCTCTGCCCACGTGGCTTGGTAATTAACTCCTGCTCCAGAGCGTGATGGGGAGGAGGAGAGGAGGCACCGACACTGGTTAGTAAGTTTTTACAGGTAAAGGAGAAAAGGCAGTGCAGAAATCACTGTCAAAAGGAGGGTCAGGGCCAGCTGTAAGCCAAAGGCCCTGGAGAAACATATTGTGTCGGGTGTTTGTCCTACCTTGTTGCAAACAGCTTTGGCAGGTCATATGAGACAGAACATAAGAAGGGAGGAGGGTTATGTTGCAGCTGTTGGGCATATTGCTGTGCAGGATTACTTCACCGTCTAGCAATTTTCTACACATAAATCCATTTGCCTGCCTGGTAAATACCATGTGGAGAGCAGCATATATTTATTTGCCCGTTAAAGGATAGCAGAATATAATTTATTGCCACAAAGCCCCAGTTTGTTCACAGAGGCTCCTCTTCCTTTCTTCACGGAATGAAAACAAAGCGTAATTCTGGCGGATGCGCTGCCTTCCTGAGGTGGAGGCAAAGATTTATAACCTTTTTTTTTTAAGAAAGGGACTGAAGTGGTGCAGCTGCTAGATTTGTAGTGTTCCTGTATTAGACTTTTTAATCTTCCTCATTTTAATCTCCTTCAGCAATCCCAGGGGCCAAGCTGGCATGCCTGGCCTGCCTCTGCAGGAACATACACTTGCTCTGCTCCCTCTCCTCATGCCTGTCTCAGCAGACGGTCCTTTCCACAAGTAAATTTTGTACCTGGATGGATGTATCTGCCCCCCCCCCCC